AAATTTATATTCCATAAAAATGATAGAGTCAAAATAACATATGATCAAAGTTCCTTAAAAAACTATAGAATATGTTGTAAATAACCATCTCAGATACAGTTTTTAAGTCTTTACTATAAGTTGATTATAAATGTGACTCACTGACATACAAACACAAATGATTAAAACATAGATTTAGATCACGAAATGACACATTTCATAAAAGCTATTCAGGAAATTCTATTTGCATATGTAAATAAATGAAAGTTGACAATATTCTTTTCTCTATTATATTATTCATTGATGTTGTATGCCATAAAATTGTGTATTACAATAAGTGTTGAAAAATTTCACTTTTTAATGATAGTTGAGAATTAAGTGCTATTCTCAACGAGATTTCTTTTTGTATACATTATCATTAGATTGAAAAGTAATTTTGCCTGCAGCAATCTATATTCTAAAACGGATATTTTATTATCATAGTGATATTTTGAAATAATTAAAAGTTCTTTAAGAGTTTAGCTATTTCGTTATAATTATCTAAACATTTATTGTTGTCAATGCTCTAGTCAAAGATTCGAGTGGATTGAAACTCATTCTTGTCATGATCTGACTCGATTGTGTTTTCAACTGGAAGCATTTTTATCGAAAAAAATTACTTTAACAAAATGTAATTTACTTTTGAAAATAGCATTCTACGTATTTGGAAAAAGTTCGAAAGAAAACTATTCTATAATCTGTTATTATAGTTGAAACTACTAGCGAGTTTATTTCAAATTTAGACTTTTATAAATCGTTCGATTCATATATATATTACTTCAGTCGATTGTTCAATTGTGCTTGTAATTTTTGTCGGTACAGTAGATGCTTTTGCTGTGCTGTATAATAGCAAGAAATAAGGAAGTCTAAATTATAAAAATGAAAATAAACTTTTAATTTTACCTGGTTTTTATTTCAATATCAGTTGTCATTGTTACCATTGATTCTGTTAATGTAGTTGTTATATTTTGAGTTACGGGTTCATCAACTATAATAAAGTTTATTGATAAAGACTATTCATTTGAAGTATGTTCATGCGTACAACAATTTCCTTGATGAATTGATATTTCATCAACTGCAATTGTGGTCATAGGTGTAGCGGGTCCAGATGTTTTTTCAAAATCAAAATAAATCTAATAATAACAATAACCAAATACAAAAATTCTAATACATTCTTCAAATGAATAGGTTACTTTATATCCAGGTGTTATAGTAGTGAAATCCACCTGGTGTTTTATCCATCCATTCAATGGACTACTTGTCACAGTGTCAATTATTTCCATGCTACTTCCTGTTTCTTCTTTACGTATCTTGATGTTATGTTGTGTTCCATCTATATTTCGTAAGTAATAATAGTATGTCAGACATTGCCGGTTGGTACCATTAAGATTCCCCCAACGATTATTCAAAGTGAAAGAGGCTGATCTCGGAGCAAAGAAATTGAAATGACCAAATTTACCTAGAATATTTATTTGTATAAAGATTCAGAATATCTGACCAGAAAGTATAAGCTTAAAAGCGGTTAATTATTGCGGACGGTATTTTTGTAAGGAGAATGCTTTCAACATTGTTGAGATTTACCTGGTGTACATGTAGTATTTGGATTGCTTTGTGTTGGACAATAACCTTCGTTACAAAAATACATGTCCCATGTATAATTATACACTTTGTATGGTAATATGCATAGTTCTCCATTGCTTGTTGACGTGACTGAGAAGATAGAAGGTAAAATATTGGCATGATAAAGAAGCAACATTGAATCTTACGACTTGATGTTACATCCGATAGAGGTAAAGTAGGGGGCTGAATACTAGCAAAGCCCATTTTCTCATCAATGAGCATTCCTTCGAATCCTAATGGAGACAGGCAGTTATTAGTGAAGGTAGCATTATCATAATTACATTTATAAAATATTTGTGCAGAAGTTATTATTATGCAACTAAATACTAAATGCAAATGTATGGAAACATGATATAACAAGCATTACTAGAAGTCTTAGTAAAACAAGAAATACCTATCAACCACTGCATCCTATCAAATTCTTTCTAAGACGTGTAAATTTTATCAGTTTTATCTTTGTCATTCTTTATATTTAACAATAAACGAGAACATTACCTTAAAACACGATAAATAAAACTATTTTTTTTTCTTGTGTGTGTGTGTGTTTTTTTGTAGTCTAGACAAATAAACATTTTGATAATTTTCAAAAAAGTATATTAGAATAATTTATTTATCGTATCAATCTTCTTTATTTCAGTTCGTCTGAAATCAAAAATTTTATTAATGTGAATAAATTTGAAATGTTAGAATTCATCATTATTCGAACATCATCTTGAAATAGAATTCTTTGTGTTAGATAATAAAAAGAAGTATTTATTAATTCGACCCTCGTGATATATTATCTTCGAGTTACTTTTTGAAAATGACACAAGAGAATAAATTTGATATTGTAATATCTCAATTTAATGTGAGCATTTGATTTAATCAATAAGATTTATCCTGAAACTATTTGAAAATAACTTTCAAATATTAATAAATGTTGTCAATCGTATTAGTTGATGATTACTATAATAACTGAAAGCAGAAACAATAAATATACGTTCTACAAAGGGTAATGTTCATCATGCCTCGATAATGACATTGAATATCAATAAATAAATGTGATAATAAAAACATGAAACAATACATATATATGAAAAATTATTTTGTTCTTGCTGCATCTCACTAATTTCTGAACATATACTCACATACGATGAATACTTTTCGAATAGATCTTAGATTTGATTTATATATTAATAAAGAAAAACATTAAGAGACACTAAATAAATGGAAGAAAAATAATTATTGATTCCATTAGTCAACATCGAAATCATAATGATGATATCATTGAAAACTGAAAAGACATATAGTAAAGAATTTGTAACATGTTTTCATATTGTTCAATCGCTTTTTAGCCGAAACCTACTGGATTATAAGCAATTGATCATCTAGATTTCAACTATCAATATGCCATGTACATCTAGGCTTGCGAAGATCTTATTTTCTTAAAAATGAATTTTGTATAATGAAAAGTTTTCTGTAGTCAAAAAATCCTTTTTTTGCGTTTCTAGTTTGTAGAGTGCTTCGAGCTAAGTATAAATAGTTATTGTATCCAAAATTAGAATCATAATAGAAGACGTTAGAGAAGTGAAGATTTGCAGTGCTTGATCTTCTAGGGCATGAGTGAAGGAGAGATTTTTATTTCACACATCTTCCCACCCACAGTCATAAAATCCAAATTGCAGAATCCTGTCAAAACAAGCGTATTTTTACTTCGAATCACTTAACTATTCCATTATGCGTTCACGATTAAATTTCATAAATAGCTATCTTAAAGGTATGAAATATGAGTGAATGTTTGTATTGAAGCTTTTTCTGTACTGACACTAACACCAAACTTAGTGCCTGATTGGATTTATTGAAGTAACGCTTGTGCAATAATTTATCAGCGTCGTATTATTTATTAGAATCATCAGCGAGCTGTTGTAAACGTTCTTAATAATAATAATAATATTGCATTCATGATGTTTTATCGATAATAATTTTTTTGACATGTTGTCTTAATTCAGTAAGAATTATTGAATGAGTAACCAACAATTGATAACATATTTGACTTATGTCATTTATTTCATCATCGAACCAAAATATTGACAACGCATCATTTTAAAATAGTTACCAATAGTTTCTCTAATCTCTTTATATCGGTTCATAACATTGTCATCATATTAACTATTTTTACAGGCATATTTTAAGTGACAGATACATTTCGTTATACCATTATTTAGTATCGAAATTTGTGTATCAGTACATTTAAAATCGAAAGGACGATTACATTCCAAGAAGAGCTATCAATCAATGCTATTCAAAACAAAACCTACATGTCTAGTTAAGCACAACTTTTTAACAGACATCAATATGAATACTTCATGTTGTCTTTCTTCCGAGATGAAGGTAACAAAAGATTATTGAACCGAATATCGTATTTATCAAAACGGAAAAGAAATAAAAAGAGCTATTCATAACACAATAGATATGTTCCATCAACAATCCTTTCGATTAACATCATAGAAATATCTGTCTTGTTTTTTTTTTTAATAACTGTCAAAATCAACTAAACGTTCTATATACCACTGTGTTCTATAATCTATTGTAGAAACAATATAAATTTTCGTTTATTCTGTTGATAATAATGGAAATAGATCATAAAAAGTAAATGAGAATAAATGTTACTATTACATAGTATTGTTTACTATTCGTTAAGTATCATTTTAAATTCTTGTTAACACGTATGCAGTGTTACCATGTTTATTATATTTTTCAAAGTATTATTCTCTCTCGAATTATCATTCTCTTTTACAAAACATCTTATCTTGTTTACAGTTTTTAGACTTCTCTTTATTATTTATATTATTTACGAGTGATGTAAATATTCATTCTTCAAATAATACAAATATTTTTCGATATTGTTATTAATATTATCAAAATATCTATTATACTGAATTTTAAAAATCCTATAATGTAAAGATTCATATAAAGCATATTTGTTATTGGTACTTTTTTCCACCATGTTGACAATATACAGAAAATAAACTCAGATGAAATAATATATTCATGAAGAAATATAGAATAAAATAATAAAGATAAATACTTTACAAAGAAGAATGTCAAATAAATATATTTGTGCATCTGTGGAAATAAAATAGTTTAACATTAGATGAAATTTCAAAAATAGAATGTGTGAAATTTACAACAATAAGAAGAAGAAAAAAAACAACATGAAATATAATTATCATTTTGGTTTTTTTGGTTCGTTAAATATAAAGAAAGAAGAGAATTGAACCGGTCAATGATTAATTCATATTCATGGTTACTGTATTAAATGGGCGGATGAGACATTAATATCACATAAACGAATATAGTTTCAAAAAAAAAAAAAGAATCTTTCATCGATTATTAACTGGTGTAACATTTCCACAAGCTGACTCATTACGACATGATGATGTTGGTGTTGGTGTTGGAGTATTATTATTATTATTATTTGGATTAGTAAATCTTGCATACATCATTTGAGCAATACGATTGACTTCAACTATATCTGGACGTTTTTCAGGATCTAATACAAGACATTTTGATATTAGAAGACGTAACTAACAAAATAAAATATAAAAATAAAATTGTTTTTCAATTGAAAAACAAACTTCAGATGAATAAAAATTCGTTGGTAATGGTGTATAATCAAGTGCTTCTATTTTTTGACGTAATAATATAAGATTTAAATTTTCTCCATAAAATGGAGAACGAAGTGCTGCCATCTAAAAGAATATCTATTAGAAATAGTTTTTGTTATTTGAATAAATATTTTACTTCATATAAAATACAACCAAGAGACCAAATATCAGATCGAAAATCATAACCAAGATCATGTTCATGAATACGTTCAGGTGACATATAATATCTATTTTTATTTATATTATGTAGAAATTGTTTTTAGAAAAAAAAACTAATAACTTACGGTGTACCAACCATTGAATGTGCTGATGTTGTTTTTGAACCAAAAAACCGACCTAATTTTTATTTTAAATCATTAAAATAAAATAAATTGAAAAAAAAACAAATAGACTAACCTAATCCAAGATCACCAAGACGAACAATTCCTTCAGCACTCACAAAAATATTTGCTGGTTTAATATCTATTATGTAATATATATAAATTACTTAGATTGTAACATAAGTAATATCGGACGTATTTCAATGTGTTATGTAAAAACTTTCTCTCTATATCAATCGATAATAAAAATGATGCCCTATCTTTCTACATTTATTACATCAATTTTTCAACTAATATCATAATAATAAAAATTTCGATAAGAATTATTTGTTATGATATGTGACAAAATATTGAATGATATTTTTCTTTGAAATCTATTCTTTTTGTTTCTTCCTTGTTCTCTCTATGATACCTAAGCCGTTTCTAATAATAGGTCATATGTTTATAAAAATGTCTCTAATTATCTTGAATTGTAAACTATAACAATAATACTACATCTACTTAATTCTTCGGATCTAACACCATATGATTTTTGGTAATTCAACAAAATCTAAGCGATAAAAATGATTCATCGTGCTGTAAACAACTTCATGAGCTCCTTATATAAAAAACAAATAAAAGAAAATGTTTTATACCTCTATGCATGATTCTTTTTGAATGCATATGTTCTAAACCACTACAAATTTGACTAAAAAATTTCCATATTGTTTTTTCAGGCATTAATTTATTTGATCGAAGAAAATGTTTTATCATTTTAGCTAAATCACCTGCACTTGCTAATTCCTATATGAAGAAGAAAAAAAAAAAATTTTTTTTTTTATTAATAATCAAATTTTTTAATAAATAATTAAATACCAAAACAATGTACAAATCATTTTCTTCAACAAAATGTGATATATATTTAATTATATTTGGATGATTTAATTGCTACAAAAAGAAAAAAAATTCCATATGAAGTTAATTAAAACGAGCATAAATATATGTAGAGAGAGAGAGAGAGAGAAAGATTAATATACTTGAAGTAAAATTATTTCACGTTTGCAATCTTCAATTGCTTTAGAATCAGCCATTCGGCTTAACTAAAATAAATATATAATTTAATATAAATTTTATCTAATAGAAAAAAAAAACAACAGATTTCATTATATTCGATCATATGAATGTAATTTCATGCAAAATTTTTATATTAATCAAATATTTTACAAAAAAAACAAAATCAATTCAATGAAATCTTTTAATTTTATGTTTTGATCTTTCGAAATCTGTTGTATTGCTAAACAGAATTATTCAAATAATTTTCTTACTTCAACTTTTTTTAAAGCAACATAAACACCAGTAAAACGATTTCGAGCAGAATAAACAACAGAAAAATGTCCATTGCCAAGTGTTTTAAGAATATCAAAATTTTTTAATGCTCCATATGGATCTGATCCTGCTTGCGGAGGCACTGGACCAAGAACATTAGTTTGAATACTCATATCTATAAAAGAACACGAAAAAAAAGAAATTTAAGTTTTCTTCATCATTTCATTTATTTAAACATCAAAAATGCAATGAATAGAAAAGAAAAAAATTCTCTTAAGATAATGACAAAAAATAGGAATATATATATTTATATATATATCTGTATATAATGCAAATGTTTGTATTTTATAAGATAAAACATCTTTGCTCTTTTTTATTTCACTGCATTTCACTAGTAGAATTGAGAATAAATCGAACTAAAATAGCAAATGCAACTATAAATATGATAATCATTATATTACTAATAAGACTATTTAACCAAGATGTTGATGTTGAATTATTATTATTATTATTACTATTTGTTGTTGTCGATGAAATAAATAATTGTTGTTCTTGATTGAAATTATTCATAAGAGATATATTTGATGTTCTTTCAATTAATATTCGTTTTATTTCTTCAGTTATATCAGGAAATAATTCACAAAATACAGGATCTCGAATATTATATGATAATGAATCAGATGCATATTTACATTTTTGTGCATAACTTGTTTGAATACTGCCAAGTGTAGCACTTGTATCACACATAAAACTTAAAAAACCATTTAGAATTGATGAAATTGACCTAAAACAAAAGAGAAAAAAAAATGCTGTTTATAGTGATGAACAAAAATCTCCCACACTGCTGTATTTCATCTACAATACATTCTTGAAGACTGAAAATTGGTGCAAATACTAACATTAAGAATGTCGTTCAGAAGTACACGGAATCGCTCCGATTGCTTAGATACAAGAAGAGTTATGATGAAGAATGCTTATTGTTCTTTCAAACTTTTAGCTTGAAAATGATTGTCTAGGAAATTTTGGTTTTATTTTATCAATAAATAATTTGATCGAATATTGTTGTCTCTACATATTTCAACTCAATTCACTGAACTATTACTGATTTATGATGTTCAAAAGTCAGCAAATAGTTCTTGCTCACTCGCATATTCATCGAACAATAAAGAAGAAGTTGATCCACAAACTTCTTCTTTTTTTTAGTGTTATCAAGCTGAACTGATAGATAGGTACGATCCATTGTAATTCTCGTTCTATTTAATCAATCGAGATAAGTTCATATTACAGACCGACATTCTTAATGAAATATGAGTACACAAAATTTCTGATCTATAGAATGTATGCTAGTCTAGAAAGACCGAAAATGGAGAAATTGTAGTCTACTAGTGTATTTTTGAAAAAGAAAAATTAAAATATCTACCAAGATGGATTCCATGAATCTGGATGATATGATGTTATTGTTAAACATAAACTTTTATTTATTTGAAATCTTCCATTTGGTGTTAACATAAATATACCTTGATTAAATAAATAATTAATTGTATTAATAAAAAAATAAATCTTACTTGGTGGTTTAAATGGATATTCAGATGGAAAAATAATTTTTCCTTGATAAATACCACCTTCATAAGGTGTATCATGTGGTCCACGTACAACAAATCTCCATTCTAATAAATTTGATGATAATGGTTGAGCTGTTAAATATGGTATCGGGTCTTTAATTAATCGACGATATTCAACTTGAAGACGATGAAATGCTGAATTTGATTTCATCGACATTTTAAAAATTTATAAATAAAATAAAACGAATGTTAACTAATTGAAAATCTATGACAGATAAAGAAAAAGTATTTTAACGAGAATATTTTCTTTTCCGTAATTGTTTTCTTGTCTAATCGGAACGGAACTCGTCAACGGCTGAAATTTTGCCGAGAACAATGTGTCACCATTTTTTTTTTAATGAATCCATATTCACCTCTAAGACTGCCAATCATGATTCATTAGAGGTCGCTTTATTCTCCATTTTCTCATAGTCAGGATCTACCCAACTCTTTACACTTTGAAGAATACAAAAGATATTTTCTTCGATGTATTATGTACTTAAATCAATACTAGATTTCTAATATGTTGTTCTGTATATACAATACCATTCAATTAATATTGTTGCAGAAATGAAGCACTTATAAATGGAAAACGGAAAAAGTTATGCATAGGAGGATGTAGCAATGAAAATGTCGAATAGAGATGCACAATGATGTTTCAACATAAACAATATTAGAAGATAAATCTACATTCTATTTCATTAGTTAGTCTTATCTGTTTTCACTATTTAATGTTATGACTCATTTTTTCTTGATTGAAGAACTTCTTATATGATGAAAAGTCTCTTTAATGCACGCACGATTAGAACCAGCTAAAATTGGTTACTTTTTGAAGCTGCTTATTATTGAGAAGTTTATAGGTTCTTTTTTTCAACTTACAAGTATAGAGTTGCAATTACGTATTGGATGCACTAGATGATTTTTTTTTCTTCTTTCTAACAATCAATTAATTCAACTTTTTTAATCGAAAGTGAGTCAATTCATATTGACATAAGTTGATTTTACTACTTGTTAACAAGAAAAAGAAATAAAAAGAGGTTATACCGAGGACTGTTGCTGTTGTGCAATATTTGTTTTCTGTTCTTTTAAATAATTACGCCTAGTCTATATCATTTTTCTATTTTGTCTCATGTTTGTTGATCATAATGTAATATATATATATATGCCATCATTTTCTTTCGCTCTACAATTGAGTGATAGAACAGTATATGAAACTCAAAAAGATTTTTCGATATTTTCACTACTGAAAGCAGTCAGAACAGAAACTATCGATCATATTCATACTTTGCAAAAGCATAATCAATCGAAATTTCCGAGAATCGATTGTTTAGACTTTGAAATTTGATCACACTGGTGAATTTAATATCATTTATCTAAGTGAAAATTTGTTCATTAGTTATTAAAAAAAAAAACTCACTTTTGTGCTAATTTTTTTTAAAATAACTAAACGACTATCGAACACGCCTTATGACTTTATTAAGAATTTTTTGGTCGTCGAAGATGATGACATTTGTAATAAATGTTCAAAAATGAAGTCTTTTTGTCTCAGAAATATCATTAAAACTACGACTAGTGATACCAAAATATTCAAATGCTCCTTGATATTTTCAATCAATGACAAGTTTCGATCAGATGCAATATTTCCGATTTCCTACAATGGTTTGGAGTGCAGCTGACGATACTAATGAAAAAAAAAAGATAGAATGTTGGTTCTCATCTTATCAATTGTCATCACAATAGACTCTTCCTATCAATAATTATGAATTCATTCTATTTTTGATCAATAATACAAAGTATCTTGTGGTTTGAAGTATTAATGATTATTCCTTCGAGCTTCCAAGAAATAAGAACTCTTTTAGGCACAATATTATATATATTTTTTTTGTCATTTTGTACAACGTTTCATACCGACAAAAACTTGATTTCAAATAGTAATTTTCTAATATAAGCCATTATCCTTTTTCACTTTGCTGATTTTAGAAGATCAAAGACAAAGTCTTATCATGAAGAAAAGAGAGTTTAAAATGCATCTTGATTATATTTATTTTCAATAAAATGAATCATATACACTGAAAATGAAACACTTCTGTCGTATACACAATGTTAATTAAACAACAACAGCAGGATAGCCAGGTTCAAATGTAATTGTTAGTCGTTTACGATAAACATGTCGAAAATAAAATTCAATATCCAATCGTTCATATTTATTATTCACAAAGATTTTCGTTTCATGAGATACAGTTTCATTCATAATATTAGCTACATTTAAATAATTTTCAATCGTTTTTGGTAATTCTTTTCCTATATATTTATACCATCCTTCTAATCCATGACGATGTTGTTGTGATGGTACAAATAAAGGATGTTTGTCAATAATAAATGATTCATAATAATCAGGATGGCATGGATTACAGAAACGAAATGAATAGACTCTTTCATTATGGATCATTCGTCTGTCAGCTGTATATAACCAATCGAGTGAATTACTTCGTATGCAATCATAAAACGTTGCGTTATCATTTAATAAATGATTATTGATATGACCAGCAAAAGGCACCTTTCTTATATTGTATAATAACTCATCGAATAACAGTGTCTCGAATTCGATCAAATATTCATCATCAGGATCATTGTACTCTTCTCTGTCTAATATATATTTACATGATTGCTGTTTATAATAATCTTGTTTTCGCATTTACTAGTATATCTCTTTGTTGATAAGAATGAAACAATGAACTAGTGAAATAGTTTATAAAGGGAAAAACAGGGAGAAGCATGTCGTCGTTGGAAAAATCCAATACAAAAGAATAAGACAAAATAGAAAAAATTCTCGTATTAAACTTACGTTCTTCTTGAGGAAAGAAAAGAAGCAATGACACATGTTGGAGTTACTCTCATGCAAGCATACTTCGAGCAATAAAAAAAAAGAAAAGAAAAAAATAATAATTCTCTTCTTCTTCAAGGCAATATATTAATAATAATTTATTTTTCGGAAGTTTCTTTTTTGCTTAATTATTTAAAAGAGTACGCGACATCATATTAAAAAATGAAGAAAATAATATCATAAACGAAATATTTATTATTAGAATATAGTTTTATCCAAATATATCAACATTATATTGATCAATTGAGATTTTTTGTTCAGAACTTTTGCTGCCTTTTCTTCATCATAGTGTTGATCATTGGAAGTTATTTTAATAAAACATACTTATACTGATGCATCGAGTTTAGTTATATTTTTATGATGCAATTTACTAATTACACATTTTTTGTTTCTATGTGATTGTCAATAAAAGAAGTTTTAATTTTTAGAGCATCAAATATAGACTATTGATAAAGTTTATTCAAGTATAAAAATCTTGTTCAGTTCAATATTCATAATAAAGAATTCTCGGTTCAATTTCTCAATGAAGTGTAGAATTTGTTCATTCGTTACGCGTTTTCAACTAAACCTATAGTCTAAAGGTTTTTATCCTTATCTCTATATTCAGATCCGAGAATAAAATATCTATAAGAATATGAATGATAAACACTAGGATTAATTCACAACTTAATTTTTAATTCATTCAAAAATCTAACAAAATCCATGCTTATAATTTTAATCAATTGTTTTTCGACAGTCATATTTAGCAAAAATTCATTAATTGAATGACTATTAGATAAAATGCTTGAAAAGGAATCGATAATGAATAATTTATCATATTGTCAATTAACTGATCTGTAATCACTAAATTTTAGTTAAAATTATTACTAATTAAAATCTTTTTGTGTATTAGTCTTTGTGATGATTTTTATTTGATTTCACAAGTTTTCTCAATATATATGTTTTATTTTATTGAATGAACCTATCAAGATTAAAATCATATTCTATGTACAAACAAGATTTTAATCTACTAATATCCATGTTATTGCAAAATATTTTTCCGTATATTGAATTCCCGGATGTGATGTTCCACTAATTGGTATAAATTGAATTTCATCAATATCATTCCAATCCAAATTAAATATTTGAGATGTATCATATTGAAGAACGATTGTTGTTGAATAAAGATCTTCTTTGTCTCGTCGTCCAATTAATTTAACTTGAAGATTATCAAGCCAAGCAGAAGTTGCTTCAAAAGAAATTAATGAAAATGTATCTTTATCTCGTCGTTTTGAACAGATACTCATAGGTCCCTCTTTTCCATTAAAAACAATACATACATGACCATTTGTAAAAGCATTTTCCCATCCACTATGTGCATGATTTGCTTTAACCCATTGTTCATGCATATACCATACATTTAACCATTTTAAACCTTCATAGGATTCTGATAATGTTCCAGAATCAACTTTTTTATCGATTTCAAAAAGTTTATCAAAAGTTATCATTCGTCTGCTTGGCTTTTGAACTATAAATACAGCAAGAAAAAAAAAACAGAAACGTTGTGAACACAATTTCTTTGGGAATATCTATATGCACTATTAAAATGTGTCTGTAAAACAGAAAAAAAAAACATGTTCATTTTACTAAATGACAATGCATATGAGAAGGAAAACAGGCATCTTTAATCTCCAATATTCGCGCCAGAATTAAAGAAGGATTGATGTAAGTGCAATAACTTGATAGCGGTAATAGCTCTGTGGTTTTCACCAATTGAAAGATGAGAGATCGGAATGTTTTTTCTTCCGATAATGTATAATACGAAATCCTTTTAAAACTGATCATCTTCGAAAAGTATGAAAAAGACTTGCCATCTAGATGAAATTTTGATTTTGATCTTTGATTTAGACAAGAAATTTCGCTCAATTTTTACTACGTTTTCGAACTTTTTATAAGAATAGCTTGACATCTCGATGAAAATGTAATAAAGCATGTTGTATCTTGAACTATAGACTGAAGTCTCTCTATCTAAATCAAAGGTCAAAATCAAAATTTCATCTAGATGGCAAGTCATTTTCATGCTTTTCGAAGATAATCAGTTTTAAAAGGATTTCGTCTTATACATTATCGGAAGAAAATATATTCCGACCTCTCCTCTTTCAATTGATGAAAATCGTAGATCGCTAGCTATTACAGTTATCGAGTTTTTGCACTTACACCAACCCCTTTTTAATTCTGGAGCGAAAATTAGTTTCATTTCAAAAATTGTGAGAAATACTCGAAGAATATGGTAGAGAGAGGAAATAACTTTCTTG